CTATTCTATTCTATTCTAATTTTATATTCCATTCCACTCCATTCTATTCCATTCCTCTGTTCTATTCTATTCTATTCTATTCTATTCTATTCTATTCTATTCTATTCTATTATTCTATTCTATAATTCTATTCTATTCCACAATTCTATTCTATTCTATTCTAATTTTATATTCCATTCCATTCCATTCTATTCCATTCCTCTGTTCTATTCTATTCTATTCTATTCTATTCTATTCTATTCTATTCTATTCTATTCTATTCTATTCTATTCCACAATTCTATTCTATTCTATTCTAATTTTATATTCCATTCCATCCCATTCCATATTTTCTATTCTATTCTATTCTATTCTATTCTATTCTATTCTATTCTATTCTATTCTATTCTATTCTATTCTATTCTAAAGATATTCATGGTCCCTTCCAACTCTAGTATTTAATGTTCTATGTAGTTTGCATTATTTTGTACTCGTGAAGATTTGTCGAGCATATAGTGGAATAGCTTAAAAAGCATTTAAGATCGGTCAGACGTAACTGATAAATTTAATTCCTTACCAAACCTATTTGGGTGAAACTGGTCTCACATAATGTTGGCTCTAACTTGGTTTTGCTTGTTGTATAATACGCGTCTCCTTTAGGAGTCTTCCCTGCTTTTGTTTTAAAAAGAGAGAGAGAGAAAGATAACAGCTGCTCTATTAAAAATGTCAACGTTACGCGTGTTTGCTTGAAAATAAATTCCATACATTTAGATAGGACTGCCACCTTATATAAATATTATATTGTCTCTTGAGTTAGATGATACATCCATTCAGCAGCTAAGTACTCCTGATGTTACTCTAGGTCCACTGGTGAAAGAGAACTGAGGTTTAATTGGGCAAAGAAAAATACAAGGTCAACATTTTTGAAAAAGGTCCATCATAATTTGGATAAAAGCCTTCAATACGAATCAGATTCTAGAAACCAGAGTTAGCTTTTATTCTCCAACTTTATAGACCAATCTGTTGTATCTGTACGTAGTTTGAAACAGAACCTAGTCAGCAGTATGGATTCTATTGGCCTTTTAAATATGCATGCAGCTGCTAATCACAACATATGGTGGATTATATAAGCGATATAAACAGGTAGGTAGGTAGGTAGATAGATAGATAGATAGATAGATAGATAGATAGATAGGTAGGTAGGTAGGTAGAGCTAGAGGATGGGTGGATGGATGGATGGAAAGATAGATAGATAGGATGATGGATAGATGATGGATGGTGGGAGGGAGGGAGAGAGAGATTGATGATGGATGGATGGATGGATAGATAGATGATGGATGGATAGATAGATAGATAGATAGATAGATAGATAGATAGATAGACAGACAGATAGAGTGGATGGATGGATGGATGGATAGATATAGATTTAGATAGAGGATGGATGGATGGATGGATAGAGGATGGATGGATAGATAGATAGATAGATATAGATTTAGATAGAGGATGGATGGATGGATGGATGGATGGATGGATGGATGCATAGATAATAGATATGATAGATGATGGATAGGTATAGATGAGAGAGAGAGAGAGAGAAATATATGTACTATAAAACTTATACTATATAATCTCCTGAGGCATTACCAGGACAAAACAGCTCAGGATATTGCATGGAGCCAAAGGCATGCTTGGAAATATCAACTATGCTTGGGGCTGATGCCATCTGTGGGATCCCCACTTAATTTAATAAAATAATCTGAAACACAACTAAAAACTGGTGGGACCGGAAGCCTTCACCGATTCACAATATTTAGAAAAGGTTAAACACGAAACTGCTTCATCTTGAGGCGTTCATTATTCAAGATCCGCTCACCACAGGGATCAAGGCGTCCTGATCCGATTCTACCTCTTCCTCCATCTTGCTTTGAATTGTGAAGAGTGGCACTTAACTCCCTTTCCTAGAGGAAGGAACACATCGAAATGACCGACCGGTAACATTTTCAGAAGTTTGTTCCCAGGTGCTGTTGGAGGAACTTGTGTCCCGTGGTCTCCTTGCCTCCTTCGAGGAGTTCTTTCCATCGCAAACCTTCCATGGGACGCCATTGTGCCTTCCGCCATTTTCCCCACCTGTCACAAGTATGCACTGCCATTTTGTTCTCTGTCCTTGGTAGTTTGACCCAAGAATCCCTTTTCTCAACTCTGGCAAAGTAACTTGCAGGCCTGCCAAACACTCTGGCCGTATTCTGCCCTGAATTAAGAAAGGTATGTTTCTATTGTATAGGTATCAAGACTGGCCCATATGTTTCCAGTTTACTTGTTTCCACGTATAATAGTAATAGTAATAATAATAATAATTATTATTATTAACAGACAAGCACCTGCAACATAACACCCCAGACTTAACAATTGTCGATAAGAAAGACAAAAAAGTCTGGATAGTGGACGTGGCAGTGCCTGGAGACAGCAGAATAGATGAGAAAGAACTGGAGAAGATAACAAAATACAAAGACCTACAAATAGAAATAGAAAGACTGTGGCAAAAGCAAGCAAGGGTAGTACCAATAGTAATAGGCGCCTTGGGTGCAATGCCAAAACAACTGGAGCACCACTTGAACACCATCATCGGCATTGACAAATTCGCTATTAGTCAATTGCAAAAGGCGGCCTTACTAGGAACTGCTTCCATCCTGTGACGATATCTGTAATACCATCAAACATCCACATCTGTCTATCCCAGGTCCTGGGTAAGGACTCGATAGGTAGACAAAATGCCAAATCCAGTCTGAACATCTGGCCGACTGTGCGATGATCAACAACAACAACAATAATAATAGAAGTTAGAAGGGACCTTGGAGGTCATCTAGTCCAACCCCTTGCTCAGGCAGGAAATCCTATACCATTTTGGACAAATGGCCGTCCAGTCTCTTCTTAAAAACTTCCCGTGTTGGAGCATTCACCGCTTCTGGAGGCAGGCAATTCCACTGGTTAATTGTTCTCACTGTCAAGAAGTTTCTCCTTAGTTCTAGGTTGCTTCTCTCCTGGACCTATGAAGGATGTGTGTGTATATAAGGTATGTTCTTCCTTGTGGTTTTTACTTGTGTGTAGTATGCACTGTGGACAGCGCTTAAATTCCGTTGTGAGTTACAGAATGACAATAAAGATGTTGTATATTCTAGGGAGAAAGCTACTTAAAACTACCTTTTGGATGAGAAGACTGGGTTTTTCACCCGGTTTCCGTATAACTGGCAGAGCGCTTGACCGTCCTTTCCTAATTTTTTCAGACTTGTTATTAATCTTCTTTCTGGAGAAAGACCACAACAGCCAGGGGGAAATATGTTACAAACATTGAAGAAAATCTTATTTTTTTGAAAATGCAGGATTAGGGTATTAGTTCCTCTAGCTGTAGCAGATGAGATGTCATGTCATGTAAAAAAAAAATCAAATGAATCAAGGAGCAACATTAAAACATCATGAATAGAACAGAACAGAAAATGGAATAGAATAGAAAATGGAATAGATGAGAATAGAACAGAACAGAAATACAAAATAGAATAGAATAGAAATACAGAATAGAATAGAAAAGAAAATGGGATAAAATAGATTAGAATAGAATAGAAATACAGAATAGAATAGAAATACAGAATAGAAATACAGAATAGAATAGAATAAAATAATAGAATAGTATAGTATAGTATAGAATAGAATAAGGGCTTGGGAATTGTGAGATGTGTTTGCCACGTGAACACATTAAACACATTGGCAACTTTAAGACTTGTGGACTTAAAGTGCCTGGCTGAGGAATTCTGGGAGTTGAAGTCCACAAGTCATAAAAGGGCCAAATTTGAGGGCCCCTGGTTTAGAACATGGGATACCTTTTACCAATGGCTAGAAAAACGAGGCAGAGAAAGGAACTTAATAAGGACTTAATGCCTTGGCTGCCCTAGGAAAGGGGTCAAATAATCTGAAATGAATATTAAAACTTGGCCCTTTGATGACTTGTAGACTTCAGCTCCCAGAATCCCTCAGCCAGGCACGCTGGCTGAGGAATTCTGGGAGTTGAAGTCCACAGGTCTTAAAGTGGCCGAGTTTGAAGGCCCCTGCCCTAAACTATCCACCCTCGTTTGAATTCCACGCCTGCCTTGTCAGGAATCGGCTCTCCCCACTCCTACACCTCGCCAGCTATGGGATGCATCTCATAAAAGACAATATATTAAATATTATGCATCTCATAAAAGACAATATTAAACCCCCAACGGGAAGGTCTTCATCGTCCTTGAAGGCTAGAACCCACCACATGGCCAACCACGGTGACCTTAAAGCCCACGCCTTAGTGGCCAAAGGTCTTCTCGGTGGTTCCTATACTTTGGTTGACCTCTACGAAGGTGGAAGACTTCCCCACCTGGGCAGGACTGGCTGAGAAGGGATGAAGGGCGGCACCATAGAGTTCCTCCTATTTTCCGAGCATTCTTCCATTGACCGCAGGACCGAGAGAAAAGTCTTCCACGAAATTTCCAAGGGGTCACCAACTTCCGCGGGGGGAGGCCCGGAAGGACTAGGACAAGCCACAGCACTGGGCTCCCGGTAGTCCCCCGTTTCCAACTTGTGCTCCACGGCAGATCCTTGGATATTTTGCTCGGCGAGGGGCAATTTCTTTTTTTGTGGCTTTCCCATGGGTATTCCACGAGACCTCCAGCTCTGCGGGTTGGCTACCGCTGGCGCCAGTCAAAACCGGTTGCCTCCCATTGCAGCCTCTCCTCTTGTGAGCTCCCCCCTCCCCTAATATTTGCAGCATTCTGAGATAACAATGGCAGACAATGGGAGATGGCCAATGGAGTTTTGTAGGTGGCAAGGTCTGTGATGTAACCCTCCCGGCTAGGAATGCCTGGCTGTGGACGATGAGGCTGGCGTAAAAGGCTGTGTTGTCCCAGAAGTTAGCCCCGCTGAGCCTTTTGCCACCGGCTAATCTGCAAGAGCTACCGTTTCTCTGGCGGGCCTGAGCGGTAGGCCTTCCCCAGAGGGTGTTCTGTCCCAGCCCACGTTGAGTACTCGCTGCACTCGCAAGGAGAAACCCCTCTTCCAATCAAGCAGGCAGAAACAGCAGGAAAACCCCAAACTCCTTCTTTAATTCACAGAAACATCAGGAAAACCCAAAACCCCATCTTTAATTCACAGACCTGAATCAAACACAGTTCACAGCAACTCAATCCTTACGCAAACGGTTGCCTTTGGCAACCAGCACCTCCCACACCTTCCCTTTTATTATGCAGCCAAGGTGTGGCTTTCCTAACGCCTGCTCCTTTGCCTTTGGAGTCGCCCCATTGCATTCCTTTGTCCTGCTCTTTTCTTGCCGGCGTTTTCGTGCATCCGGGATTTGTCCCAGCTGTTCTTCATCACTGTCCACCTCCCAGCCCAGCTGTGTCTCAGCCTGAGTGTGAGTAGAGGGGCCAGACTCCTCATCAGACTGTAAGTCCTGGAGCTTCTCAGAGCCTTCCTCTGACTCCAATGTCATTCCAGGTCCTTCCTCCTCCTCCTCTGAGTCCTCAGACTCAGCTGCCGGATCGACGGGCTGGCGAGGAATCACAACAGAGGGATCCAGCCCCTGTAATGGACAAAGGGACAAAGCTTCGGTGCGATTTGGCGCAATAGCATCAAGATCATGTGAAGCGTAGCACCGCTTTATACCGCACAGGTAAGGCCACACTTGGAATATTGCGTCTCATTCTGGTCACTATGATACAAAGAAAGATGCTGATATTCTAGAAAGAGTGCCGAGGAGAGCAACTAAGATAATTCGGGACTCTGGGAGATCATCCATATGATGAACGCTGCCAGAACTGGGTATGTCTCGTCTAACGAAGAGAAGGACGAGGGTGACCTGAGAGCAATCTTCCAATATTTGGGGCACTGTCATAGAAAAAGAGAGGGTTGATCTATTCTCTAAAGGATCTGAGGGCAAGACAAGAAGTAACAGGTGGAAACTGGAGAAATTTCATGCCTGTGAGAAGAATTAACAGGGAGTTAGTTGACAGCTGGCCTCCAAAAATTCTGGCTGCTCCATCAATGGAGGTTTTTAAGAAGAGATTGTCTGGAATAGTATAGGGTCTCCTGCTTGAGTAGGGGGTTGGACTAGAAGACCTCTGAGGTCCCTTCCCACCCTGTTATTCTGTGTTCTTTACACCTGACTAGGAACTTTCTTTCTAGCTTAGCAGTTTGCCTACCCGGGCAAATCTGTCAACTAAACTGATGGAAAGAATTGTATTTAGACAGCATAACATGTCTGAAGAATTCCTCCTATGTTTGTTCCCTTAAAAAAAAAGTCACCTGATCAAGTAGGTCAGGTTTATAGCAGCCTAGGGGAGGATGGGGGTGAAACAAAGGCAGCTTTCTAGCACCCCTTTCTTTATATGTTTGGACTGAAAGACTTGGAGAATCTTTTGTTCTCTAAGGGAAAAAGGGAGCATATGATCTCACAATAGAAAGACAAGACAGAATTCTCTGAATGAAGGCTGCATCTCTGGGATGCAGAGCCCTGGAGAACCACCAGACGGTAGCAAAGAGAGAAAGAGTAAGATGTTGCTGCCCTCTGCTGGCGATCTGGATGCTGCAGCCTAATACACCAGCCTTCGTTGAAGTTGCAGAACAGGAATAATTTATTCTAGGGGCTGTAGGGCTTCTGAAGGAAAGGGTTGTGAGGACTTAACTCACTGAGTTGGAAGGATCTTGGCAACGGATCTTGTCTATTGGACATACCCTTTTCTGGTCAATTATCTTTTCTGGTGCAGAAAGATATTGTGGCAGAAATAAATATGATTGTCTACACCAGGGGTGTCAAACTGCCTGTCCATGGGCAGCATGTGTCATGCTGAAACCGCCCCCACTCCGTTGCCGGCAATGGAAAAAAAGTTGTGATACATCGTGACACGTCACGTGATATTGCGAGCTTGACAACTATGGTCTACATCAAAAGCTTAACCTCCCTCCATCCCACAACTTCACCAGATTGGGGTGGGTTTTTTTGGCTGTGCGTGTGTGTCTTTTGTCTGCTGTCGAAAACGAATCAAACAAAACGAATTGCAGTTTCGTTCTGAGGGAAGCAGGGAAGCACTACGAACAGCTGGCCTTTTGTTATTGTTATGGATCGCAGTCAGCCAGATGTTTAGACTGGGCTTAGCATTTTTATCCCCCTATGGAGTCCTTCCCCAGGACCTTGGATAGGCAGATGTGAATTTTTTTTCATGGTCTTAAAGGTACCATCTCAAGATGTAAGCAGTTCTGAGTAAGGCTGCCTTTTGCAATTGACTGCTGGTGAACTTGTCAATGCCGAAGGTGTTCAAGTGATGCTCCAGATGTTTTGGGAGGTGCCTATTACTATGGTTACTACCTTATTATACAATTTACTCGCCACCCATCTTGCAGTTCGATTCTGAGCAGTAGTGCCTAATTTTGATTCCTCACTTTCTCTGTCTCAGGAGATCGGTCCCAGGACATTACCCCAGGCCAGGCCAAGCTGGGAAGAGGGCAAAACAAAGGCAGGGCAAACCTCACCTCCAGAACAAGGAGCAGAAACCTGTTGTATCTAAGGAGGAAAGGTGGTGGGGCTTTCTGTGAAAAATGGCTGGAATTCTCCCAGCAGGGACTTTGCTTCAGAAAGTCAGGGCGTTCCTAAGAAAAAGGGGCATTGTTTTATTCAGGATTTTGCCTTTAAGCAGGAGCTATTTTTCTCACTATTTTTTTTTAACTAGGTTTCTAGTCCTTTGATACAGGAGCTTGAGAAGCATCCACATGCCTGGGAGGGGGGCCAGGCTGAGCGTGAGGGTCCAGCCTCTAGAGCAGTGGTTCTCAACCTTTTTAATGCCGCGACCCCCAACCAGTCGTAAGTCGAGAACTACTCAACCGGTCGTAAGTCGAGGACTACTCAACTGGTGCAGCACCGTTTGCAGAATGGGACTTTTGGTGGGCTCAGCAGGGCAGAGACAGCCTGGACAATTCCTATTGGCTTTTGAAAGCCAATAGAATTAGACTCTATTCAAGAGAGTCTATTCTATTGGCTTTCAAAAGCCAACAGAATAAAAGGGAGGAGCACAGCTAAGGAAAAGAGGGAAAAAAAGGCGGACTGCGTTGTTTGGCGACCCCCGTGAAATGGTCATTCGACCCCAAATAGGGTCCCGACCCACAGGTTGAGAACCAGTGCTCTAGAGTGCTTCCACTCTTGGTCCAGCATTTTCACCATGTGCACACCACACACAGCACACAACTATACACATAGTTGTGTATACTATATACTATCTCTCATGAAGTCTTACTACCTCTAGCCTTCACTCTGCCCATGCAGTCTATTTGCCAAAGATTCTATCTCTTCAAATTAATTTCTGAAGTCCAATTTGTAAAGCCTACTAATTACAGTATAGCAGAGCACTACCGCCATCCTGTGGTCTGCTGGGGACATTGCAATTTCTTTTGCAACTTCGGTTTTATAGTATAGAAGTTGCTGTAGAATTTGATGATTGAATCTGATATTTATAGAAACATTGTGTATTTTTATTCTTGCTAGTAGATACATGTACTATATATTTTTATGTTTGTTTAAACAGAAAGAGAGGTCACTTTAAGTTATATAATTGTTATTCCGACTGATTAAAAAAATATTCACGTGTATATTTTTATGCTTGGTTTGATTTTAAGAGACCACTTGAGACTATGTATTTGTCCAAGCGTTTTAAGTCAAATTTTTAAAAATGTTTTTTCCCCTGTCACTTTTTAACGTTTCCCCGTTTTTGAGTCCCTCCCAATTTTTATTTTTCTATTATGTTGTGTTTTCACTCTCTTTTATAATAAAGTTGACCGGAAAAAAAAATGGATGGAAATCACCTAACACAAGCAGTTTGGTTTTTTTTTCTAATTTTTTTTTATTTCATTGTCTAAAAAATCACAATGATAAATATATTTCATCACTATATCCAGTATCTCATTCAAACAGAGAGTGATGCTTGCAAGGATTAGAACAGGGGTCTTTGAACTTGGCCCTTTGATGACTTGTGGACTTCAACTCCCAGAATTCCTCAGCCAGGCACGCGTGCCTGGCTGAGGAATTCTGGGAGTTGAAGTCCACAAGTCATCAAAGGGCCAAGTTCAAAGGCCCCTGGACTAGAAGCTGAACGTGTATTGATGGATCAGGAAAACAACAGTTGTAAGCTGATAGCAATGACTGCTTTTTCTATTATAAGTAAAATTAAGGAGGAACACCACCCTACCCCCTGGTATGCTATCTTTAGAGTGATTTTAAAACACACTTTCTACACTGGTGTTTCACAACTTTGGCAACTTTAAGATGTGTGGACTTCAGCTCCCAGAATTCCCCAGCCCAGCCTGCAGGGAATTCTGGGAGTTGAAGTCCACACCTCTCAATGTTGCCAAGGTTGAAAAAAACAAAAACAAAAACCACCGCTCTAGATGGACAATATATGACCGGATTGTCATACGTCAATTGTCCTATGTGGCTGGTTACGCAATCCTCATAAGCCAGAATTGGCCAAACAGGTTGAATCTGATTTGACTGGGTCAAATCTTTCGAGCATTTCAGGGGAAGATAGAACCATGGCATTATGACTGGATATTTCAAGGGACAGTAAATAAACCCATGGCATTATGACCGGATATTTCAAGGGACAGTAAATGAATCCATGGCATTATGACTGGATATTTCAAGGGACAGTAAATAAATCCTTGGCATTATGACTGGATATTTCAAGGGATAGTAAATAAATCCTTGGCATTATGACTGGATATTTTAAGGGACAGTAAATGAACCCATGGCATTGTGACTGGATATTTTAAGGGACAAGAGTCCCGTTTTACAAAACTCAGTTTTAGAAGGCAAAACCTTTTCCAGACTGGAATGCCTTTATTGCTTGCCCAGGTTCCCTATTTTTAAAAAACAAGATCTTTCCTCCGTTCCCACCTCAATCTGCAGCCTTCTCGTGCCAGCCTAAGCACTCTTAAGTCCCAGCACAATGTGGGTGCAAGGGCTTCACTTTGGCATGTCTGGAGAGGCCGAGGCGGAGACCCTGAACTGGTGATTTAACCGGAGCTCTTCCCAACAAGGTGGCCTTGCTTCCAGAGGCACCTGAAAACAAATGCAAAAACACTACGTCACAACAGATTCTGGGGGGGCTTTCGTAAGACACCCAGATCCCGGGGGGTAGTCCTTGACTTACAGTCGAAACTGCACCAGGAATTGTGGTTATTAAGCGGGGGTCATCATGTGACCGCACCTGATTTTACCAACCTTTTTTTGCAGCAGCCGTTCATCAAGTGTGAGAAACACAAAGCGCACACCACGGTAATGATGATGATAATAATAATGATAATAATAATAATAAAGTTGGAAGGGACCTTGGAGGTCATCTAGTCCAACCCCGTTGAGATAGGAAATCCTATACCAGTGGTTCTCAACCTGTGGGTCGGGACCCCATTTGGGGTAGAACGACCATTTCACGGGGGTCGCCAAACAACGCAGTCCACATTTTTTCCCCCTTTTCCTTAGTTGTGCTCCTCCCTTTTATTCTACTGGCTTTTGAAAGCCAATAGAATAGACTCTCTTGAATAGAGTCTAATTCTATTGGCTTTCAAAAGCCAATAGGAATTGTCCAGGCCATCTCTGCCCTGCTGAGCCCGCCAAAAGTCCCATTCTGCAAACAGTGCTGCCCCAGTTGAGTAGTCCTCGACTTACGACCGGTTGAGTAGTCCTTGACTTACGACCGGTTGGGGGGGGGTCGCGGCATTAAAAAGGTTGAGAACCACTGCCCTATACCATTTTTGACAAGCCATTTCTGTTAATCAAATCTGTTGGCTGCAACGGATGCCTTTTTGCCAGAAACCACAAGCAAATGAGAGTTTCTGGAAACAAAAACATGGTCCATCATGATCACTGGGACGCTGCAAACAGCCATAAATAAGAGCAGCTGCTGAGCACACCCAAAATCTGATCACATGACTGGGTGTATGGGCACCCCCCAAAGCTGTCAGAATGTCAAAACTGGGTTGTATTTTTTCCCAGGGGGGGAAAGCGTTGTAAGTTTTTTTTTAAAAAAAATATTGTTTTTTTTAACGTTTACAGTTCATAAGTGCTTAACAAACAATGTGTTGTCCCACAGCTGTATCTGATCCGGGGAGGCAACAGTCTTGGTTTCTGGTCTAGCTGTACTCCATCCTCTGAAGTGAAAAATGCCTCATCCAAATTCCTTTCCATGTCCCAGGATGCTTTCTTTCTGAAATGAGATGCCCAGGCAGACAGAGGCTGGGTCATCCCAAACCAGTGTAAACACACCTGGGGGTGTCCATCTGGGCATCTTGGCCACTGCAGGGCTTGAGGTCTTCAAAGGCTTCCCAACGGATTCCGAAGAACCGAATTCCATTTCCAAATGTGGCTGAGAGTTTTCCTGATCTAATCACAGGAAAGATAGAAAAGCAACGAATGGACGGATGGCTACCAAATAAATCCTCCCTTTTAAGAAATGCAGATTAATTGCACACCACCCTTGCCCAGACTGCACGACTCGATTGATGATAGGGAACTCCAGAGAACTGGTTTTAACAGAAAGAGTCACAGCAACGTAGTAAATATTTTAACGATACCACGCTCATTTTATTAGATAAGATCACCTTTATTGTCATTTCTTTTTTACTGTGGGCACAAAGGCACACATCAAAAATAAAATTCAGTTGCCCGCTGGATGCCCTGCCTGGGGCCACATGGAATGAACGAATGAAGGGATGACCAGGCCGTAAAAAGGGAATGTATGCTTGTTTCATTCTGGTCTGCAGAAAAATCTTTTTCTAGAAGAGAATTCTATTCACTGTGCTGGCTCACAATTATTCCGAGGTGGATGCTGTGTGTGAAATCACTTGAGTTTAAAAATGCGGTGAACTAAAAGGGTCACGTGGATAGTTACAGTCAGGTATTCAGGTATCCTGAAGTTGAAACTCAAGTCCTTTGGCCACCTAATGAGAAGGAAGGACTCCCTGGAGAAGAGCCTGATGCTGGGAAAGATGGAGGGCAAGAGAAGAAGGGGACGACAGAGAATGAGGTGGCTGGATGGAGTCCCTGAAGCAGGAGGCGTGAACTTAGATGGACTCCAGAAGATGGTAGAGGATAGTAAGGCCTGGAGGAACGTTGTCCATGGGGTCGCAATGGGTCGGACACGACTTCGCAATTAACACCAACAACATTCTCAAGTAAGACGAGCAAATGCAATTTAAGAGAAAAGAGGGGGGGACTCAAAAGACAAACTTAGGGCATGATATTTGGGAAAGGATGCTGCATGTCCCCCCCCCCAGGTCAATCTTACCAGCCCGGAGGTTTTCATCATTGTCCGTCTCCGGCGTGGATATCACAGCTTCCTGTTTGAAATCCTGAGCGGCTGCCTTTGGTTCAGCAAGGCGATCTGGAATTGAAATCAAATGGTGAGGACGATGCTTCAGAAGAAAAACAAGAGAATCGTGGGCTATGTTGTCTCATAAGGAAGACGCTTTGTGGCTTCTGCTGCGCTGTTCTTGCATTCTGGAGAGGGCGCCTACACCCCCATACAAGGGCTCAAACGGTCTCGCCCACTTTCCAGTCACTGAAAAAAACCACTATCACTCTGACAGTAATCCGAAGTGCATCTGTCTTTGCTAAACGTCACTGGGAATTTAGGTAAAAGAAATAAACTGTAGGGTTTACAGGCACACCAGACATTAGAGCTGTGGGCCACTCAAAATGAAATTAGCTCGTATAGAAGTTGACCAATGAATAATAATAATAATAATAAAGTTGGAAGGAACCTTGGAGGTCTTCTAGTCCAACCCCCTGCTCAGGCAGGAAATCCTGTACCATTTCAGACAAATGCCAAAGACAGCCCCTGACTGGAAAACATGCTACCTTTTGTATAACTTGACTGTTCTATCAACTCAAAGTAAGGCGACAAAATAAACCATTTCAAGAAATGACGTATGGCTGCTCCCCCAAAGGTAAATAAAACCGGCATTTTTAGCTTGAGATTTTAAGAATCACCTTTTTCCCGTGTTTTATCTTTGTTTCCCACATATTCGTTCAGTGACAAGGCTAAGGTAACTTCCAAGTCTCTCTGGAAAACTTTCTCATCCAGGGGAACTCTGAAACCAAAAAACAAGAAGCATGAAGCCAAACGCACCAGCCTGAAGATGACGAGTGAGACTTCGTCAAAACATCGCCAAGACACTTCCAATTTTACGCGGGAGAAAACCCAAATAACCAAAGACCTACATATATATATATATGTGTGTGTGTGTGTATAAATATATGTATATGTATATATTTATACATATATATGTGTGTGTGGGTGGGTATGTATGTATGTATGTGTGTGTGTATGTATGTATGTATATATATTCGGGTTTTCTCCCACGTAATAACCAACGACCTACATACAAACACCTGTGAAAACCTCAGAAAACAAATATATATGTGTGTGTGTGTGTGTGTGTGTGTGTGTGTGTGTGTGTGTATATGTAGGTCTTTGGTTGTTCGGGTTTTCTACCGCGTGTTTCACGCGGGAGAAAACCCGAACAACCAAAGACTTACATACAAACACCCGTGAAAACCTCAGAAAACACATATATATATATATATATGTATATATATGTGTATGTATATGTGTGTGTGTATATAGATAGATAGATAGATAGATAGATAGATAGATAGATAGATAGATAGATAGATAGATAGATAAAACAAATAAAACACGATCACCGGGAGGATTACAAGTAAAAAATACTTTACTAAAAATATACTTTACTTATGCTAAAAAGTTGCCAAGCTTTCGTTGGGGGAAACTCCCCAACATCATCAGGGCTAAAAAGGCCGTATATGTATATGTATATATATTCCCTAATTATACTACAAATGTGAATCCTGGGTAAATCCATATAATAGAAATAAAATACGAAAGCTTAGCTTTAGCTTTTATATTAAACAGTTTTTGTTTTAATATTATCCTGCTGCTCGGACTATTTTATTTATTTATTTATATATATAATATGACTGAATGGATGACATCATACAATACACACACACACATGTATTTATATATAAACCATAGGAGCCTATTTATATTTATATATATATGTATATGTACTTATATGTTTATTGATAGACACAGATACATTCACCTACAATATACACGCAGACACGTATATGTGTATATTCACACACACAGACACACACACACACACCTATATACACGCAAGCGTATATCTCCATAGGCAACACACACACACACACACACACACAAACCGGCAGCCCTTCTCTGCCTCACCTCCTCCCGGCGGGGCGGGCCCTCTTCGGCGGCGCGGCGAAGTCCTCGTCTGCGGAGAGAGGTGGGCGGTTGGGGGGGTCCCGTCAGGCCGCATCCGAGACCCCGCATTCCCCCGCAGCCCCGCCCCCCGACTCACCCTCGTCGCTCTCCTGGAACGGGCCCGCGGCGGCCGCCCTCCCGCTCCGGCCGCTCCTGCCGAGGAAGCGCAGCGGTCAGGCCAGGCCTGGGCCGGCCGCTCCCCCCCCCCGGCCATTAACCCTCCCGCCCCCGTTTCCCCCCGGAGCCTACCTTCGCGCCATCGCCACCACCGGCGGAAACGGAAGTAGGACTTCCGCGAGGACTTCCGGCTACGGAGAGCGGGCGGAGGGAATCCACCAGGCGCTGGGTCTGGTTACGTCACTCTCCTCGGCCCCGCCTCTTCACACCCACTTGATTTCCCCTCGGCCCCGCCCGCTTTTTCAGTTTGATTTCGCCCCCGGCCCCGCCCCTTCCTCCCCGCTTCATTTTCCTCAGCCGCGCCCCCTTTTCAGTTGGATTTCCCCTGGGCCGCGCCCCTTCCTCCCCCGCTTCGTGTCCTCTAGGCCCCGCCCCTTTCTTCAGTTTGATTTTCCCTCGGCCCCGCCCCCTTTTTTTCTCCCGCCTAATTTCTTCTGGGGAAACTTTCACATCTCATTTATAATTTGTTTTTTTTTGCAGTGATTCATTTAACCCGGGGGTCTTCCAACTTGGCCCTTTTAGGACTGGTGGACTTCAACTCCCAGAATTCCTCAGCCAGGCACGCTGGCTGAGGAATTCTGGGAGTTGAAGTCCAAGAGTTATAAAAGGGCCAAGTTTGAAGACCCCCTGGCTTAACCACTGTGGCAAGAAAGGTCATAAAATGGGGCACAACTCACTTAACAAATGTCTCGCTTAGCAAGTGAAATGTTGAGCTCCGCTGTGGTCGTAAGTCGAGGACTCCCTGTACAGCCTGGATGGGGATGCCTGGCTCTACTCTGCCCCTGCGGACATTGGTGCTGAATGTCAGAGCAATGCAAATGACCTCCAATCCAGAAGCCCCCCAAGCTTTGTAGCTTGCATTGAAGCACCCCGAGTTTTCAACTATCTTATAGAGCAGGGGAAAGAATTACTTTTTCAGAATGAACGTAAGGAGAAGAAGAAGAAGAAGAAGAAGAAGAAGAAGAAGAAGAAGAAGAAGAAGAAGAAGAAGAAGAAGAAGAAGAAGAAGAAGAAGAAGAAGAAGAAGAAGAAAAGAGGCGGGAAGAAGAAGAAGAAGAAGAAGAAGAAGAAGAAGAAGAAGAAGAAGAAGAAGAAGAAGAAGAAGAAGAAGAAGAAGAAGAAGAAGAAGAAGAAGAAGAAGAAGAAGAAGAAGAAGAAGAAGAAGAAGAAGAAGAAGAAGAAAGCTGGAAGGCACCTTGGAGGTCATTTAGTCCAACCCCCTGCTCAGGCAGGAAACCCTATATACCATTTCAGACAAATGGCTGTCAAGTCTCTTCTTCGAAACTTCCAATGTTGGAGCATTCACTGCTTCTGGAGGCAGGTTGTTCCACTGGTTAATTGTTCTCACTGTCAGGAAATTCCTCCTTAGTTCTAGGTTGCTTCTCTCCTTGGTTAGTTTCCATCCGTAGCTTCTTGTCCTGCCTTCAGGCGCTCTGGAGAATAGCTTGACGCCCTCTTCTTTGGGGCAGCCCCTGAGATATTGGAAGACTGCTATCCTGTCCCCCCTCGTCCTTCTCTTCGTTAAACTAGACCTACCCAATCCCAGCAACCGTTCCTTATATGCTTTAACCTCCAATCCCCCAATCATCTTTGTTACTCTTCTCTGCCCTCTTTCTAGAGTCTCAACATCTTTTTTCACTTGCTCCCAATATTCCTATGTAAGTCAACTTAGGGGGGGGGGGAAACAATCCATTTCCTGTTATGATACCTCAGTAAATACTCAAAATGTAAATGTTCCAAGAGATTATATTTTTCCTGCCCCGGATTACCTTTGGAGATTTATCTTCGGTCTTCTGTCCTTTGCCAAGAGGGTTTATTTTTATTTGTGACGTAGTCAAGAATGTCCCGCAAACTCTTCTTGCCCAGATACTGCATCCTCTTACGTCCACAAAGTCCTTTTATGGCATCAGCTGTTGATCTCACTGGCTGCAAAATGTGTCTTTTTTTTCTCTCTCTCTCTCCAACCATCAGGATCTTATTTTTTTCCGAGGGGGAACCAGCGTCTGTTTCCTTTTTGCCACTCACAGATTGAAACGCCCACTTAGCATGTGAGCAAGAGGACATGTAGGCAGGTAAATTATAATGGGAATCCCACATTCCTTCCGCTAAGCCTGGAAAAAAAAAATACACATACTGCCTCTGTATTGGGCTGTCCAGCTTTCTTCGGTCTGATTCATACGCTGCCCAAACCTCAGAGTAAAGTAAATAGACCTTGAGGATTTGCATCATCGAGAAAATTGCTTTTAAATGTTTCCAGCTTACAAGATGTTTTGCGGCTTTATCCTTCGCCCCAATTCAAAAGCTACTCATTTGCTTAATCTACAGGAGGGAGATATCTCAACTGTTGCTATCCTTGTTGCCTTGCTGTAGCCAGACAATAAATCGGTTTTGTTAAACCTGTGTAAAAGATTCCAAACGTGAAATAAACATTTTGTGAATTCTCTACCCACTTTCCTGGTCCAGTTGTACGAAATGGGTTAGAAGAGGCAGAAAATAAATTGTTTTCAACAGATGGGGGTGAGCTTCTGCAGAAGGTGCATCCCAAAAGCCTTCCTTTGAAATCTTAGCATTTCTGGGTCAAACTCCAATGTCTTGGTGCTAAGGCTAATGACATGCACCGTTCACCACTGATCGGGAATGTGTCTGTCTGAAAATAAAATGGCTGAATTAATACGTTACAAGCTTCTAGGGTGTTTTAGCAGGCGGGGCCCTCAGGAATTAGGCGTTGTGGTTTGATTATCTGAACTGGCAATTTATGTTCCAGCAATTGGTGGAAATGGACTTTGGGAAACGCCATTCAAACAATCCACCATAAACAAACGGCTAGAATAATCTCAAATGGAGACTCCGCGGAGAATGTTGACATCAAAAAAGGTACAAGACAGGGATGTCCATTATCCCCATTGTTATTTATACTAATATTGGAAGTACTGACTAGAAAGATTAGACAAGATATAGAAATGAAAGGGCTGAAGATAAAAGATCAAAAATATAAATTACAAGCCTTTGCGGATGACTTGGGTTTTTTTTTTATCCTGGAGGAGCCACTTGAAACAACTACGAAATTGTTGGAGAGAACAGAAAAGTGTGGAGAAGTGGTGGCGGGTTTGAAAATAAATAAAGAAAAGACTAAAGTATTAGCAAAGAACTGAACAGATAAACAGAAAAGTCAGCTTACAGAGATTAGGAGTTGTGGGAAGGGAATAGGGCAAAGAAGGCAAGTTAAAGTATCTGTTGGGAAGCCCCCAGCCTAGCTGGAAAGAGGGAGGTAGGCTGGAGTCAATTGCCTGCACCGTTGGACTGCACCGCAAACTCGTATCTTGTGAAGGGTTTCAGTCCGCTAATAAGAACATCTTCTTTAGAGCTATGGAGAAGAAGAAAAAAATTCCCACAAGAGGATGAAACCGTGTTCACAGGAGCGGATGTCCTTCAAAGACTGGCAAGATTTTTGGCAGCCTTTGAATGGCATAGAAAGATAGGGCTGGAAGGAAATGTCTCGGTTGCCAGTGTGGGGCCTTTACCAGCTTCTGATTTAGCTGTTATTTTATTGACGGGATGTAAAAACAGATTAAAATCTGGTGGGCCAGAAAAGCCGACAACTACCCAAAGAGATTTCTCTGGGTTGATCTCGGATATCTAGAAAGTCTAGTCAGGGTTATATAAAAGAAAAGGAAAGATTAAAGCAGTGGTTCTCAACCTTTCTAATGCCGTGACCCCATAATACAGTTCCCCATGTTGTGGTGACCCCCCAAGTGGGTGTGGCCACCAATAAGAGGGAGTAGGACAGCTAGGGAAAAGGGAAAAAATGGCGGACAGCGTGGTTTGGCGACCCCCGTGAAATGGTCGTTCGACCCCAAATGGGGTCCCGACCCACAGGTTGAGAACCACTGGATTAAAGTATCTTAAAGTATCCCAGAACAACTTAGAAAGCTAAATACTGTAATATAAAGGCAACTGGACTTTGTTTTTCCTTGAAGGCGTTTCGTTTCTCACCCCAGAAGCTTTTTTCAGAACTGAAGAAGCTTCTTGGATGAGAAGCAAAAGCTCTTCAAAGAAAAACAAAAAAGTCCCGTTGCTTCTTGCAAAAGCATCTTTGGGACAACCAAGACCTGGATGACTAAGAATCTCCATAAACAGTGTAATATCAAAGAGAAAGCATGAATGCTCCTCACTAAATGATCTGAATGGTTCCAATAAGAAAAAAAAAGTCCATTTTTAATTCTTTGGTAAGAAAAGCCCCCACATTCGTTCTGCTTGCAACTGTCCACGACCCAACAATGACATCATGACACGACCCAAATGACTTCATTTGTGCAATGTATCGCGATCCTTGTGATGATCACTTACACTGCTGAGGATGCTCCTACCTTGTGTAATACATCACAAGCGAGGCATTCTTTAACCCCCAGGGGCTGAAACGGACTGTGTAGTTGACAATCTTCGTGGTGGTGAAGTCGGGTTTCTTCCACCGCAACCAAATTGTTGTGGAACTATTGGAATCAACATGGAGATGGCCAGGAGGTGGTGGGGGACCTTTCTGAACTGGAAGATCTGAGAAAATAATCAGGGAGGAGGAGGAGGAGGAGGAGGAGGAGGAGGAGGAGGAGGAGGAGGAGGAGGAGGAGGAGGAGGAGGAGGAGAAGGAGAAGGAGAAGGACTGGGGGGATTCCTGTATTATAGGCTGAAAATAATAGAGTAGTTAGGTCAAACTCTGCTCTTCTGGCCCCGATTGTTCAAACTGAAATTACAACTAGGAAATACGCGCCTTGTGGTCTATGCTGCTTGTTGTAAATTATCTCAGGCAGATATCCACTAATTCGTTGTACTATCCCACTGAGTTATTATCCATGTTTGGGGTTTTCCTCAAAATTAGTATTAGTATTCCCGGAATTTCAAGCTAATCATAATGTGGACGATCCAGATTATAAATCAGATCATGGATTTGGCATCTCGTGCATTGCAGGCTGACACTTGGTGATGACTTCACCTGCGTCGTGTTGGTTAGCAGAATCAGGAAGTTTGCTGTGTGTGGGTTGTGTGACAGAGACAAACTCCCCAAATACAGCCACTGCAGGATGTGAGATTTAACAACTCTTGGGCTAGGGAGCAATCGCACCAGAGTACATGCGGTTGTCTCTGTCTGTAATTATGCCTAGAATATACCAGCTATAGAAAGGGCCCACCTTCA